GCACTTTTTAGTCCAGCGGCTTGAGCCCCCTGTAAGCAGGGCTGCAGCCTCTTGGCCGCTGCCTTGCGTGCCCAGCTTCATTTGCCCAGAGGGCCCGGCTCCCAGCACGGCGCGGGACTGCGCCGGACGTCGCGACGGTGAGTCAAGCTGAAGTTGGAGGCTTTTGGGCAGCTGGGGGGCTGCGTGGCTGGTGCCATGAGGATCTGGCTGTGGGGCTGTTGGGTGGCGGTTCCCTTTGGCAGCCGGAGCTCCTCAGGCCTGACTGCGTCCTTGTTGACGTTTGCAGAAGCCGTGGGACAGGTTTTAAGGAAAAAATGGAACGAACTCAAGAAATACTTTTCATTAGCAAATTAAAATATAAGAAGAAGGAGTTATTTACATATTTGATAACTGAATCTTGCATTGACATAATTTTAGATCTGGGAAAGTTTACATATTCATAATGGCAGAGAGAAAGCTCCTTGCAAGCTGAGTCTAGATACTCCATATTCTGGTGCGGACCTTTGAAAACTCAAATTCTACGCACAGTTCATCTCAAGGCCAAAGCTGTCATTGCGTATCGATTTGGACTAATTTGAAAAAGCGATAACAGATGAACTTCAGAGTTCTAATGAGCATGGTAACTCATTGGTCCCAAATAACTAGGAATGAGAATCCCACCATGAAAATAAATAAAACCAGACACTGAGCCCTATATTATTTACTCAAATGCTTCCTTCATACAAATGCAGCAATTAAGAATTGCATAAAGAAGGAGAGATAGAATTTTTTCATATATTCCATGAATAGTAAGAATTTACTAAAAAATTAAAGAGGGGAAAAATTGTTTCATCTGCCCCAAAATCTCCATCCCAACATGCTTACAATAGGTTTTTCTTTTCTTTTATAAGGACCAAATATCGCATTTTTAAAAGATCTAATACTGTAAAAACTTAAATTATGCCTCCTGATGCATCTGTTTTGGTACTATAAAATTAATTGCAGGAAAACTCTGGGAGCTCCAGGTTACACCATGTGCAAGGCAAGAATTAATTCTGGGACTTTAGTTTAAATTGCAGAGAAATTTACAAAGAGCACAGTTAAAATCCAAGCCTCTCTGAAGCCAAGAAAAGTCTCCCACTGGCCTCCATGATCTTTAAACTTGGAGCAAATTTAACTGCTGTTCTTGTTTAATACACACATAGCATCTGATTGCCAAGACATTCATTTTCAAAGCACAGGAGGTGAGAATCAGGCATGAAACTACACAAAGCAAATGATGTGTTCAGTAGCATAATTTGCAGTTATAAAGTATCAGCATTCTTACATATGCATAATACTCCTCAAATACAGATAAATATGGATTCAACTATAACATTAATTTCATTTTAAAAATAAGTTTATATATATGATACATATAGGCACTTACAAATTGAAAATTAAATTAAAACGGAGAAAAAAAAATCCGAATCAAATGTGGTAAGGCATAACATGGCCAAGAAGCAATAACCATTCAGGACTTTAGTTAATGTTTAACATAAAAGACAGCAGCCCTCCCACCAGGATGAGATACTTGCCACTTGCACTAATTCTAGAATAAAAATGCATTTTAGGTTATTTTTGGCAGTCAGCAGCTATCTAATCTGCATTAATTAGGTAAAACAGTGAGGCTACATAACTCATCACAAACACTAGCAATGTCCTACCCACTCAAGCAAGAGGAAACACAAAACCAGCAAAAACCAACTCTAAGTTCAAAGTTGTCATTATCAAATCCTGAGAAATTCCAAAGCAATTTGTTTTATAACACAAACAAGGAGAAGTATTGCAATGTAAGCATTTAGTATAGAATAAAAATTTGTATATAATGCAATAAAAATTTACTCTGGGATTCTAAGAGCAAAACAGATCAAATTGTGACTTTGCAGCAAGCAAAGAATTAAAGCATTTATAATAGGCCATTCTGACAGAACAGATAATTCTGCCCAGAACAAGTCAAGATTAGTGTTTAGGAATGTCCAGTGAGACAAATACAAACATTACCCCATTACCCTGACATGTCAGCCAGCTGATTAAAATTAAATTGGACAATATCATTATCCAAACAAAACTCTGTATAAATGCATTTTCCCCTACTGAATTAGTTCACCTTTCTGTTAAAATATTAGACTTTGACTCTGCAAGCCTTTTTTGTTCAAATCCTCAGCTGAGGTTTCAGTGTCTTTACTTCCACTTTCCTCCAAGTCTCCTGGGGACTGTTTTATCAGATTCTTTACTCTCATCTGCTTTTGAAGGAGCTCCTGCTGCTTATCTACAAGCTCCTGGTTCTGCATCTCCACTGCTTGCAGCTCATTCTCAATGGACACCAGCACCTCCTCTAGCACCGCAGGGAGAGGCAAGGAGAAGGCACAATAGAGACCACAGCCATGTGCTGATGCCACTTCTAATTGTGTTAATTGTACTCCAGCCAGTGATCAAGCTGTCAATAGAAAGCATTTATTTACATGTGAGAAGCAACATTAACCCCAGCAAGTTAAACTCCTCTGGAGTTATAAACAGGGCCATTAGCAACAAGCTGTGTTCATGCAACAAGATCTCCCTCCTCCATAGAAGAAGAGGATGTGCTGAGCAACAGGGTTTGGATGTAGAGGGAAAATGTTTTATCCATCCTTCACACGTGAAAGAAGTGAAGCAAATGCTCCCCAAAAGCTTGGGTCACACAAGTGACTCTTTGGCAGGAATTGCCTCTGTCCATCCCAGTATGATGTGTGTGAATTGCAGATTGTGTTCTAGAATCCAGTCCCTGGAGTCTAAAAGAATAATTAACACATACACCTGCATGCCAAGCATGTACTCCAGAGGCAGGTCAGAAAAGCATCAGAAGGAATTACTACCTCCCCCACACCCACAAAACCCAAGAGATTTTGGCCCGTCCAGAGCAGATATGGTAATATGGTTATGGAAACAAAAATGTGTGATATGGAAAAAATATCTTCATCTCAAATAGCACAAAATAGTGACAGATGTCTTCCTAAATGCCCACTGCTACTCAGCAGAAAAGAGTTAAGAGTATCTTAAAATTTGAAGCACATTTTAAAAATGTTGAAAACCAAGTAATTTCCTTGACAAACTTGATTTTCATCCTGCAATAGCTTGGGTTGAAAGGGACCTTTAAAGCTCATCTCATTCCAACTCCCCTGCCACTGGAGCAGGTTGCTCAGAACCTCATCCAACCGTGCCTTGAACACTTCCAAGGATGGGGCATTTTGGTTTAGTTTAACCTAAGAAATAAAAAACTATCCAGTAAAAGATTTTTTTTCTTCAAATCTTAAGTATAATAGCAGAGATCCCACAAAATCTTTTATGTATACATTAAATTAATGTAAATGAGAATCAGTAACATGATGTGTTTGTGTCTTGTTAGCTAAAAGAATATATGGAATATAAATTATGGATTGCCTGCAACAGCTCTCATCTTTGGAGATTAAAGAATGTTATCTTTAGGAGATCTTATTTAATCAAGCAACTGTCACTAAAAAGAAAATGAAATAAATACATTTTAAAATATATTTTGTAAGTAAACCTTCTCAACTTTAGAACAAATTTACTGCAGGACATTGTTCATTACCAGAGCTGTGGATGTAACAGTTTAAGCACTGGTTAATTTAATTTGCTCACATAAAGAAGCTCCACTAGGTGACAACTGCTTTTTCCCTTCTGCAAAATGGATAAACACAAACTCACAACCAATTCCCAAGGCCACAGCTCACCAGGCTTCTAAATGAACCCAAGAGACGTTTAACCAAGTCATACATTTCCTGCAAGAGGAATGCTCTAAGGCAGACCAGTCACTCACCAAGTGCCCATGGCCAATTTTGATCTCTTCAAACTTATTTTACAGAAAAGCCTGGACACATTATATTGTGCTCCTTAGAAAGGCAGCCACCATAACACCTAGAGGATCTGTTAGGAGGAAGTGAAAATGCTGTTTAGTTTAGAGAAGGGGATCAATTTTGAATAATCATCAGTGAAATGAACATGGAATTGAATTTATTGGGTCGTTATTTGAACAACAGTTTTTGTCACATTGTACCTTAATAACACTAAACGCAAGAGATTGATATTTTCTGTTATTGCATCCTGAACTATTTATTTCATGGATGGAAACAAAGTCCAATGGAAGGTGAAAGGGAATAAATTCAGCATTACAATAAATACTGGGGGAAAAATTCCTCACTACCAGCTGATTCCACCATAACAAGCATTTTCCCTGCTTCTATAAATACAGGAGGAAATACATATTAATAATGATGTGTGAATAAAACACTTCTGCATCACCCACGGCCAGACCCAGACGCCTCTTAATCACCTCCAGGGGCGGCGACTCCCCCACCTCCCTGGGCAACCTGCTCTAGTGGGAATATTCACAGGCGAACAGTGTGAATGGCATCCAAATATACACAGTGAGCGCGTACAGTGCAACATTCCCTGCATCCCTCAGCCACACGCCAGCCTGCTCGCTAAAGCTGCGGGACAGGGCGGGATGGATGGATCCATGGATGGATGGACGGGTGGACGGAGGAAGGGACCAAGGCCGCAAGGGCGAGGAGGAGCAGGGCCTCGCAGCCGTGTCCTCCCGTGCGTTGGGCTCAGACGTGGCTCGGACCGACAGCTCCCACAGCTGCCCTAAGAGATGGTGCCGGCCGCGCTCCCGCATCCTTTAGCTTTTATCCCTTATCTTTTATCCCTTATCCCTGATCCCTCACGGCTCCCGCCCCGCGGCTCCGCTCCCACCCGGCGCCGCCCTTTCCGGCGCGCGCCCTCAGCCACTGGCGCGCGGGGCCCGGTGCGTGCTCCGCCCCGCCGCCAATCAGCGCCGGCCGCGGGCCGTGGGTGGGGCGGCGCGCTCGCGCGGCCGTACAAGGCGGCTGCTGATTGGCGGCCGATGTGACCAATGGGCGGGCGGCTCTCCTGCGGCGGGGTGCGTGTTTCCGGAAGACGTGGCCGCCGCCGCCGGTGCCGCTCCCGCCCGTGCCGCTCCCGAAGCCGCCGTCACCATGATCTCCCTGTCCGACACGCAGAGTAAGCGCTGCCGCTGCTCCCACCGGGGAAGCGCAGAGGGGCCGCCCGCTGCGGGGCTGGGGGCGGCGGGGGGTCGCAGGGCGGCCGGGCCCGCAGCCTTTGTCCACGGCGGGGCCTCCCGGGAGCGGCTGGGCACGGTCCGGCGGGGCCGCTGGACACCGGCGGGAGCGGGCAGGGGCGGGGGAGCTCTCACGGCCCCATCCCCGCAGAGGAAGGCGCGGCGGCGGCCCCGGTGCGGCGGGAGTGGCGGCTGGCGGGGAGTACGGACGGGAAGGGGATGGAGAGCGGCAGGGCAGCGCTCGGCGGGACCCCGGCCTTGGGAGAGCTCTGCCACCACGGCCGGCGTGTGTCCGGGGCTGCGAGTGCTCGGTGTGCCGTGCTGCGGGGCGGAGGGGCTGGAAGGGACCCTAAAGATATCTCAGCCATGGCAGGGACACTTTGCACTGCCCCCGGCTGCTCAGGGCCCGTCCAGCCTGGCCTGGAGCGCTCCCAGGGATCCAGGGGCAGCCACAGCTGCTCTGGGCACCCTGTGCCAGTGCCTGGCTGCCTGGCTAGCCTTACAGGAGGACATTTCTTCCTGTTACCTAGCCTGGGTTTGTTAGGGTTTGTGGGTTTGTACCCATGGCACTTTGGCTAAGCACTGTGAATGAATGAATGAAAGCTGAACGATAAACAAAGTAACCTTCAGCTACGCTCTTCTCGTGTGCCTCCCTCTGGTCGTCAGTGGTCTGGAACCACTTAATTACCTAAATAGTAACAAGCTTTGCTGTGCTGCTCTTGCTGGTACCACACCAAACGTCCGCAGGTGATGCTGAGGGGGCTTCAAATTGAGGCCGAGACACTGAAGTGGAGAAAAGCAAAAATATTTGTATGTGGCCATAGTTTGTTTCTACCAAAGTGCTTGGAAATAGAGATCAAAGAAATGAAAGTAAAGAAGTTCCTAAGTGTGTCCTTAGCCAGGAGCACCAGTGGTGTCCGGGGTGCTCTGGAGTGTGTCCAGTCGCCCAGGGGCAATCCTGCCCCCCTGCTCTGCCCCAGGGCTGGGTGCACTGCTGGGCTGCCAGTACAGCAGGGACACGGAGCTGCTGGGAGGGGTCCCGGGAATGATGAGGGCTCTGGAGCATCACTAAGGAGAAAGGACTGGGAGCTGGGCCTGTTTATTCCAGAGAAGACTGAGAGGGGATCCCATCAATACATGTAAATATCTCAAATGGGTGCCAGGAGGATGGTGCCAGACTTGTCAGGGGTACCAGTGGCAGAACAAGGAGCAATGGCCATGAAGTGAAGCACCAGAGTTCAGCAATGGCCATGAAGTGAAGCACAAGGAGTTTAATCTCAATGTGAGGCATCACTTCATTGCACTGAAGCTGGCAGAGCCCTGGAACAGCTGCCCAGGGAGGGGCTGGATCTCCTTCTCTGCAGTCATCCCAGACCCACCTGGACACATTCCTTTGTCACCTGTTGCAGGTGCCTTGCCTTGGCAGGGGGGTTGGGCTAGGTGATGTCCAGAGGATCCCTCCACCCTAACCACTGCGATTCCCTGATAACAGCTAAGCTGCAGGGTTAAGGACAATGACAGGCCTTTGCTTTAAATGACTATCTCATGTATGGTGCATTTCTGGTATGATTGGCACAGAAGGAAATGAGTCTGCCTGATAAGCACCACAGCATCAGTTATGAAGGAGGGTGTGAAAAATCTAGAAAAAAAGAAGTTAAAATAACTCTGATAGCAGGATACTGGAAATGGAGGTATTGGAGAGCCAGTTAAGGCCAAGGATGAAGACAGGCAGCAGAGTTTAGCAGCATTCAGGGTCAATGATTTCTTGAGATACTCAGATGTTGTGCTGTTACTGGGAGGAGTACCAACCCTTGGGGTTAGCTTTTAGCTTTCTGATTGATTAAACCCTTGTGGCCTTTGCTTTTCTCTTAACTTCCTGTCTGGAGTATTCATTGGGAAAAAAAAAATCTCTTCAGAAGGAGATTCACTGTTTTTATTTTGCTTGGTTCCTCATGTGGGACCTTCAGCTATTTCCAGTGCTAAGATTGTTGGTTGTAACTGTCAGAGACAGGAGTACTAAATAAAACACTCTGACATTTAGTGGTTTTAAGGGTTTTTTTTTTCAGTTTTTCTGAAATTCTGAAGATAGTTCATCAGATATTTTAAAATTCACTGCTGTCTGGAAAAATACAGAGTTAGCCATAGAGTCACTGGTGGAATAGTGTGATAAATACCTGGAGAGAACCACTGCTGATGTTTGGAAAGTTAATTCTGCATCTGCAGTCTAGAACATAATTTTAAGTGGTGCACTGAATGGTGTTATAAACCACCAGTAATTGCAAAAGAATTCACTTAGCTTTTCCCAAATTAAATTTTTAATACTAAAAAATACTACTAACAAATAATAGTTGTGCATTGAATATAAGCTGTATTTGGTTTTGTCTTCTAAAAGCCTATAGCACACAATTCCATTTTATTTTGCACTATATTATGCTGTATAAAAGATTTGGGATGTGCATTGTCTGCCCTAATCTTTTACAAGCAGTGTATCTTAATTTTGAATCTTAAAATCTACTAAGCTGTTTTCACATAGAGCTGCAGTAGTCATGCACAGCTTATGGAATTTCTGGAGAAACTGATGAAGATTTGCTCCCTTGTCTCAGGAAATAATAACAATCCAGAATAAATACAACCTGGCCAGTGTGTGTTTCTGCATTTCTAGGCATTGATGTGTTGTATTTGACTAATGTGGGAAAGCTCTTCTGGCACAGGAGAAACTATTTTAAAATAGTTTGCTCCCTCTATAAATATTCATCGTTAGTTGTTGAAAGGATTTTCTACAAAATGCCAGTACTTTTCCTTCCTCTGAGAAGTGTGGTTAAATATATTTACAAATTCTGATCCAAATCAAGGCAGTAACTGAGATACCAACACTGGAGGATAATAGTCCTGGACCATTCATCTTCTTCCAGCAGTTATTTTGGGATAATGAGAATAATGTTCCTTTCTCTTTTTCCCTTTTGCGTCCACTAACCAGAGCACACGGGTGACTTGTGCAGTGAATCAGAGCCCATTGTGGCAGAAGTGCTTCCAAACCGGTTTGGGGTGGTTACAGAGGTGTCAGAGAGGGAATTGCAGCAGCTGCTGGGAGGTGGCTCTGCCTCCTCCCCACATCCACACCTTGAGCTGTGCCTGGGGAGGAGCAAATACTCACTTCCAGGACTGCTTATTTATCTTGCTGGCAGCTGGTAATTCCTCTGGAGTCCTGCCTCCAAGTGATTTCCTTCCAGAATGCAGATTGTTTCTGCTCTTCTGAAGTAAAGAGTACTGGAGAAAAGGGCACTTGCAATTCTTACATTGCCTTCAGTCAGCAGATCCATTGAAAATACAATTTGCAATTCTGTTTTTCATTGTAAACGAGTACGGAGAGTGCCTGTAGTAAATCGATTGGATCGAGTTACTTAGTGCTTTTAATTGTGGGGTGTTAAAATGCTCACAGTGAAAGTTTAAAGTGGCAGGCTACACCACAGAACTACAGCTCTAACAGCCTTGCTGAAAGCCAAGTCCTCAGAGAAGTCTGGGGAGTGGAATGTTGCCGTAACAAATCTCTGAGCTGTGTTGAAATTTATTTCCAATAACTACTTACAAGTCCTGAAACAGGCATAATTATCCTCCTTTACTCCCAAGCTCATCAAGCAACAGCAAATGACCAACTACATCAACAAAGTGCAATTAAAATCCATGGAGGCAGATCTGGCCAACAAGTAGCAGTGAGGGCTGTGATTGTGGATTTTGTGGTTTTTGTTTGTTTCAGGACAGGCTATGCAAAACTACTTGGAACTTCAAAATACACATATATACAGGCATAGTATTAGGGAGGGTTTTGCTAAGCTGTTTTTGTTTTGCATTTACAAATCTGTAGGTTTCTATGTCTGGTCACAGTGAAAACAGCAATAAATGTATGTGTTTGCAGCCCTGTTGCTGCTGCTCCTGGTTTTTCTCTCCCATTCATCTGTGTGAGAGTCAAAGGAAGGCTTTAGAGATTTAAAATTAAAAGCAGGATGTATTTCTAAGATAGCAGTCTTCAAGATACTGTTGTGAAATAGTAGTTTTAATCCTAGCTTGACATTTGTTTCTCATACAAACCTTCCATCCTATTTTGGCTTCCCAGTATTTCTTGAGCATCCTTTGCAGAACTCAAAGTTTATAGAACTGTTTAGACTGGGAAAAAACCTTTAAGAACAATGAGTCCAGCTGTTAACCCAGCACTGGCCAGTCCATAATTTAAGCAAATAAATTAAGTACAAAAGGTATTTTAAAAAAATCTGCAAGTTAAGATAATAAAATGAAAAATTTCATAAAATGAAGCTGCTATATAGCACTAGTAGTCTAGAGATATTGTACCTATGTGTAATGTAAATCTACCATTTAATTAATAAAAATTAAATATGAAGCATGAAAATTATAATTGAACATTAATCCCTCAATATTTAGTATCTGCCAGTTTTGTGAAAACTGGCAATTGTCTGGAGACCCAGGCTAGTGTTTGATAGCTGTCAGCACATGTGCAACTTGGAAAAATCCTGCAGGATTCATCCAAGTTCTGTTCCATCTAGAAAATCCTGTGCAAGTCATGGGAGATGGAACATGAGGTTTCAGGAGCACGGAGAGGACCAGGGTACTTACATTACTATGGGAAAGATAATGGGATAAGATCTGCAGATCCCAGAGTATTCTGAATTAAAAGAGAAGGATCACAAGGATCCAACCCTTCAGTGAATGACCCATATGAGAATCAAACCCTGACCCTGTAGTTATTTATACCATGTTCTGACCAAGTGATCTAATCTGGAAAACAAAGTTTCATTATCAAACAATCCTTTAATTTACAAACAATCCTGTTCTCCATACTAGCAATTAATCAAAAGGGATGTATGTCTTTGCCGTATGTGTGTGTATATATATATATATATATATATATATGGTTGCATTCAATTTCAGTGTCTAGTTCCAAACATGGCCTTTGTTGATAAACAGCTTCCAAAGATATGTCTGTTGAAGTAATTGGGGTCTACAAGATTTATAATATTTGTACACTCAAGTAAGTTTTTAAATTTAAAATGTCTTTAGATTGGATGTTCTAATTTTTTCCCCAGTTTTTATCCATGACATTTTCTTGGTACCATGTTTTGTTACATGCCTAAATTTGTTTCTTTTTCAGAGATTGGAATGGGACTAACAGGCTTTGGAGTGTTTTTTCTCTTCTTTGGAATGATACTCTTCTTCGACAAAGCTCTTTTGGCTATTGGAAATGTAAGTGTCTTTTCTGCAGTGCTTAGAATCAAGTATGTGATCTATTAAAGATAAACTCAAAATAGAACAGCATGTTTGAAGCTGCATGACAAAGATTACTGTGGTGATCTGGTATAAAAGAGGAGTGCTCAGTGATAGGAGTGAATCATTTTTCCTGCTTGAGGTTAGAACAGCTCACACTGATGTGAATGTCACCGTGGGTCAGGCCTGTGGGATGTTGGTAGACAAGAAGCAGCTTGTTCCACAGTTGTGCTGCTGCAAATGTGATTTTTTGTGGTCCTCTGAGATCACTGTCAATTTAAGTATCTATTTGGATAAGAATCTTTAAGTACCTGCTAGCAAATGTAGTTTTGCAGTGCTGTAGGAGGAAAGAAAGAAATATGAATTGCTTACACTTCTGGCTTTAGAAGAGCCAGACCTCTTTCATAAAAGAGAGATTCAGTATCTGCAGTTTTTACCAAATCAAAGTTGTCACTCAAAGCAGCACAGAAAATAAATCCTACTTCTGGTACAAGAAATTTCCAGTCCAAATATCAAATGACAGGATGTTTCCTGCATGTGCTAGTTTCTGTGCCTCTGGTGTTCTCAGCTTTGCCAGGCAAAGCACAGCCTGGCTGGGAGAGGTTCAGCCCCTCTTTTGCTGATGCTTAAAAGTCTGCAGCCAAACAGATCAGTTTCAGTCTCAAACACTGAGATTCCCTGAAGGGAAATATAAAATTGTGTACCTGAATTTGGGTACATTAGTTAAAGCATTGTTATGAGCCATCAGCTCAAGTGTGCAGTGGGAGAGTGAAAAATGAAATAATGCTTATTTTTTCTTTTTCTAATGTAAGGTGGAAATACGAGATCCTGTTTAGGGAAAATGAAAACGTAGGTAGGAAGAGACAATGACAGGCTATGTGGTAACCAAAGATAATGCAAGAAAAGCTACTGTATCCTTGCAGAGAATTGTTTTTATCAAAAAAAAAAAAGGTTATATCAGAAAGGGCAGGAAGTTCTAAGAAATTGATTTATTAAATACCATCCAAAACTTAAACTTGAGTAAAACCTGAGATACTATTGCTTTCTGAGCAAAAATGTTGCTGAAATAATTCTGAGTCCTGTAGCTGCAGGACACCAGAAATAGTTGTAACTAGTTGGGACTGATGTGATGGTGTTCAGTCTATACTGGAACAAATAAATAAACAATAAAAAAGACTCTGCACAGTAAAAAACAACTGTTCAGCTTTTTCCTTCTCTGGCTTTGCACTGTGAGTAGATCAGCAGAAGCTGTTGAAGATGTCAGTGGCACAGAGCAGAGGTGCTGTTATGTGTGGTGTCAGTTTTTAGGAACCTTTGCTGTCAGTAGGACTGAGCTTCAGCACCACCTGTGGTAAAGATGTGACAGGACAGATCCTCTGTCTTGGGTGTGTTAAAAGGATAGACCCTTTACATTCAAGCAGCTGAGAGCTACAAGTGCTTTAAGATGGACCTTACAACAGAAAATCAATAGTAAATTCATTCTCACCAACTGTCTTATGGTATTAAAAGAAGTTGTGCAAGAAAGGCAGTGTAATTTTATAAAATATATATATGTGTGTGTTTACATCCTGTACCTGGGAACATAATTAGTTGTTTTCTTTCTTTGGTTGTTTTTGTCTTTTCTAGGTTTTATTTGTGGCTGGCTTGTCTTTTGTTATCGGTTTAGAAAGAACATTCAGATTTTTCTTTCAAAAACACAAAATGAAAGCAACGGGCTTCTTCCTGGGTGGTGTACTCATAGTTCTCATTGGCTGGCCTTTAATAGGAATGATCCTGGAAATTTATGGGTTCTTCCTATTGTTCAGGTAAGTCTTGTTTGTAAAAACTTTGTGTTAGTTTATCTAGGAATAAATGTATTGTGTAGTGTTTGTGTTAGAGTTGACAAAGCAGCATCCTTTATATGTTCCTTTTGGACAGATTTTATATGAAATTGTTTATTTACAAGTTGGTAAGTATTTTTCCAAGACTCAAAGCTGCTAATGTTGGTGAGGCATTTACCAAAATTACTTTGATAATGCTGATGTCTAACCAAAGAATTGTAAAGCTTCAAAATGTGTGGGAGCCCAAATGTTAGCAGTATGAAGTTTAAATATCTCCTCATGGAAAAGGGATACTTGGTCCTTTTTTCAGTGGGGAGTTTGTTATTTTCTTTAACAAATGGGGCAAAATATTCAGTTACTACCATTCTAGGTTTGTAACCTTGCCATTTCATCACTCTGGCAGCCCAGGGAAAAGCTGTTTTCTGCCATATTTCATTACAATTGTGCCTTGGAGTCAGAACTGCTTGTTTGGGTTAGCAGTATCTCAACTGAGTTAAAGAAAAATGGAAATTCTATTTTTTTAACAGCAATCTTGAAACATGTTACAACTTTCACAATGTGTCATTTAAGTTCTTCATAAATGCAACGGTAATAGTGAAAGAATTTGACTTGTTACAACCTGCATAGATATCTATATTTTTATCTTTATTTCTATGGTTGAAGTTCTATGCTTCCCTACAGAACAAAGCAAAAAACATGCAAAAATGTAGAAAGGGAGTCTTCTGGTTGTTCTTGGACCTCTCTCCAGATGCAGATTGTTTCACTAATGGTTATTGATCAAGTTTCAGACCCTGAAGCGTTCTGTGAATGGCTGAATAACACTGTTCCTGTTAATCAAAGTGAAACCATTGTTCTCATGGAGCTCTTTTTGTACCCAGTAAAATTGTATGTTAATCCGATATTTAGTTCAGATAAAATGTTTATTTTAAAAGTCAATCTGAACTTGGCTCTTACTGGAGACAGTGAAATTTCAGAAAATTAATTTAGTGGGGTTAATGTATTTCTTATTGTTCTGCTCTGTGGTACTCTGAATCCTTTCACTGTAAGTGCTGTGATAATCTCAGTATTTCACTGAATACACTGTCATTTCTTGCATGTACTGCTTGGTTTAATCAGTACAAAGCAAGTAGAATGTGTTTCCAACAGAACACCCCCCTTTTAAAAGATCTCAGAAGAGTTATAAGTTAGTCTGTCTAGGCAGGTATGGCTATGGATTATCTAGTGGTGCTTGCAAGGGAAAACAGTGTTGAGAGGTTTATAAAAGATCGATAATTATCCCCAGGACGTCCCTTAGCCTGAAGGGAATTACAAGGGATGGATAATTCCAGGTATGAATGTTTAGCTGTCTGTTTTAATTTAAAGAATCTGGAGACCAGTGGTTTGGACTGAAGGATCTTAAATGTCTTTTCCAACCTTGATTCCATGATTCTGTGACCATCTTTTCCAGGGCTCATTAGATGATAGAATCTAAATCCCTTGCTACAAGGCTGACTAGTGATTACTTCAAGCAAAGCTTTTGTTTTGTTTCAGTCTTGTTCAGTTCAACCATCCTCCTCTTGTCAGCAACTTGCTCCCTTCTGAAGAAGTTACAAATGAAGTCTTTCCTCAAGCACCATTTTATACTGTTCCTCAGGGTCCTGCTGCTTGGTTGCATAGCAGAAAACTGCCCTATTATGGGACAGCTGTTATAATCTAAGGTGCTTTTGGGGCCTTGTTCAGATGACAGCCCTGCAGAGTTATGGCTGACAATATTATCCCTGCTGTACTGACTGTTCCTTATTCTTGGACACAGCAGTTGTTTTAATCTGTCACAAGTGGTTTGTGTGCCCTGCCTCACAATTTACTGGGCTGCTGAAATGACCTGGTCTTTAAAAAAAAAAAAACAAACTCAAAACCCCCCTTATTGGTGTGGATATTACCCAGCAAACAGTTCTTAGCAGGGTGGTGAAGAGGATGATGACTTGTGAAATTTCACAGTTTCACTGTGGCTGAGGCCTCATTGCACATTAATCCTTATTCCATGCAGGGAATGCTCAACACAGGATTGCTGGGAATGCTAGCAGCTGCCTGCAGACAGCTGAGATACTGCCACAGAAAATTTGGTTTTCTGCTGCAGAGGTTAGGTGGAGAGTGCAGGGGCTGCACCAGAGCATCTGTGCCAGGGAACATCCCCAGGGTCACTGTTCAAACCACTGACTTCAGTTTGGGAAATAAATGAATGCACAATTCTGTCATGCTTCATTTTATTTAGTTAATGTAAAGAGTATCATATATGGTTTTAATTACTCAGAACTAACTTCACTTCTTTCTACATTGGGTCTTGAATGTATTTTCTATAACATAAAGAGGAATTATCTCAAAATATGTATGCTAATTTTGAGAAATCTGTTTTGCTGACTAAATTAGGTATTCTCACTTGAGTTATTTTTTGATGAGTTGACTGAGAGTTGCCAGAATTTTTTTGTTAATGTTACAGCAATATGAGCAAAGCTTAATTACAAAAACTAATACAATCTTCTGATGTCTTACCTAAAGGGGGTTCTTTCCTGTGGTGGTTGGCTTTATTAGAAGAGTTCCAGTTCTTGGATATCTCTTGAATTTACCTGGTATAAGCTCGGTAAGTTTGGTACTTCATGCAACAACTGCAGCATGTTCTGATTTTCATTCCACTGATATAGCACCTGTAGATATGCATCAAAAATAAAGCAAATAGAACTTTGGAGCAATGACTTCAAATGCTGCACAGTTCTTGCACCATGCACCTCCCACTCATTCCCAGGGAGACGCTCCTAGGGATAAAAGGAACAGAAGGAGGCGATGGCAGGAGCTGCCCCTGCTCATGGGCAGTGGAGTGGGAAGAGTCCTGCATTGTGACAGGGAATGCTGGGGTTCTTCTGCTTCACTCTTGGCCCTGGCTGACAACACAGGTGAATCTTCCTCATCTCCTGTTGTACAATGAGGAGGGCACTGTTCTTGGTGCAGTATTTGAGTGTACTTAGGAAAAGTGGCCTCTAAAAGCAAAGAGTGGAGTTCAGTGTTATGTTGCAGCTCGTATGGTGAACCCAGAAACTCTCAGCATGAATAGTCATTCATCAAATGTGTTTATTAAGGTCCACTGCACCAGGCTACATCTTTTTATTACTAAGATTTGTGTTTTTTCAAATGGAGCTTTCAATTTTTGAAACCAAATGTCTGAGGATTTGAAGACAACAGAAAGACACTAAACTAGGGTGTTTCAGTCAACTACTTTTACTGTGATAATTTATTTATGTATTTTAACACAAGCATTTGTAATACTAGTTTTGAAAGCAACAGTTTTTATAGCTACTACTGAAAATTAATAGTGGGAATAACTTAGATGCATACAGGCTGTTTTTTAAAAATGAGTGTTCCAGTTCATCTGTTCCAGTCTCACAATTAGGCCAAGTTGTGGCTCATAATTCATGATCAATTGAATGTTTCATTTGTCAATTGATCCTAATCATATTTAATTTGATCATAACGGGGTTAAATCTTGTTTTTAAAAGATAATTGTTAATGTTTTATTCAAAGCCTACGTAGGCTCAGAAGAGAATCCACAGTAATGGTCAGTTGAAATATCTTCCTTGGTCTACTAATGCATGTGTGGCTGAGACTTGTTTTGTTTTAACCATTAAGCTGGCAGTGTTATCTGCATTCTTCTATTTCCTTTCTCATTCTGTTGCATCTTCATGCTGCACTGTTAATGTCTATATGAGAAAAACGTGTTATGCAGAAACACAATTGCAATTTTAAGAATTTTGGTTTTCACAAACCTAAACCATGAGAGCTCGGTGAGTCCTACTTGACTCTCATTTCCAGTCACATACTAACCATGCAAGTAGCAAGCAGTATTTGAGAGCAGCTTCACTCTACATAAATGTCATCAGCCTAAAACCTTTTTGTCTCCTTTTCCACAGCTTGTAGATAAAGTTGGAGAAAGCAACAACATGGTATAATGACGAGAGGGTGGAAGACTGATCTAAACTTTTACTGTATTATTTATAAAATCCCTTTGAAGAATACTCAGCACAAAGATTAAGTTGTGTACAAAGGAAAAAGCTTGTTACATTCTTTACATAACAGTTTAATTTAAAATGTATAGTCAACAATATACATTAGAAAAGAAGCTCAGCAAGTGTGCTTCTAGGAAAGTAACTCCAGAGTTCGGGAAGTCAACTGAAGAGGGGAAAGTCATGGAATAACCCCTGTTACAACTGTTCAAGACTATTTCTGTTGGTTTTGGAAAACATGCTAGAGGCAATGAACCCTTGTTGAATTAACGGTGCCTGTTCTTTACCTCCTTATTTTGAAGGTGCAGTAGAGCAAACAGGCCTACATTTTTAAGGGTGACCCAAACTTACCCAACCCTCTGCTTGCTATCCTCAGAGTGCAAAAAATCAAACAGGAAACTTCTTGTGTAACAAGAGATGCATCTTTGCATGAAGGTTAAGATGACTATTCATCTATAATGTATTATGACAATAAAAAAGAAACCCTACACAGTTCTGTTGTAAACATTTTTGTAAATATGTGGCTGAAATACAGCATTGTTATCTTAATGTTTCAAAGCCAAATGTTAGTTGATTGTATTTGCCTTCCGTTTCGGAATATGCAAAAGGTCAATCTTTAATAACTTTGGTCTTAAATGTTGGTTCTGAACATGCAGAGCTCAGTGGAGAACTCTGGAAGCTGACTTGCAGGCCTTCCAGTTTGTTCTCCTTGAGCCATGTTCCCTGTGCATCCTGATGAGAATGTAGCCCCTTGTCACTAACGTGCAAACTCTGTGAAACATGCTTAGTTCACAAAAAACTGCATTAGGCTGAGGTGCTGATGTGAACCCTGTGAAATGTTACTTACCAGAATTTGGAGCTTTGTTTTTAACCAGTTTGAAACTAAGCTTTCTTTGTTTACTCTGGAACTACGAATTGACTTTTATTTTTTACGGTAATAAAATGGAAACTTAAAGCTCTGTGTACGTGAGTCTGTGGGGAGAAAACTGCTGAGTGACTGGGGCTGACTACAGATCAAGTGCCAATCTCCATGTGTTTGTAATGTGTTACTGGTTAGCTGGTTATCTTCAGACAGCTCCTGGTTACAGCAGCAGCTTTGTTGTTACTGAGGATTCTTGGCTAACCTGGAATAAATGTCCCCTCCTAATAGACTGGTCCCATTTCTGCTCCTTTTGGGATGTTAAATGTTGTGCACTTGCAATAGTCTCAGTTACAGTGTCCTCACCTACCAATCCTTGTTCAGTGAATTGTGTTTGTGCAGGCAGGGGGATTCTGTTCTGTTTAATTTTCTTTTCCCTTTCATGTAATCCTGAAACAATTACCCAATGTAGTATTAAAGGTAGCTATGTAGACTAAAGGTCTAATGACTGGGGGTGACTTTTTTTTTTGTTGTTTTTTTTTGTTGTTGTTGTTTTTGGGGGGTTTTTTGTTTTTTTTTTTTTTTTTTTTTTTTTGTTTTGTTTTTGGGGGTTTTTTATTGTGCAGTTAAAATTGGAGTTTTCTACTGTTACTTTTAACTTAAAAAAATCCTCGTATACCAACCCTTTTGAAAGTTGCTGTGAAGTTTATTTGTATAAAACAAGGGGTTTTTCCACTACAACTGTATAAATAGCCACAATCTACTATTATCAATATTTAATTTGCTTCCTTCTAAAACAGGCACAAAATTATTCAGAAAGAAAACCCAACCTGTTATTTTGCAATTATTAACATCTGAAAAATCAGCGGGTTTGTTTTATAAATTGCTATATTTTCTTGATGGCATGTGCATTACAGTTAAGAAACAGGAGTAAATACGATTGTTGGCTCTACCTCAAGGATAAAGCATTTTAGATAACCCAATTTTAACTGCTCCTATAGCTCTGTGCCGTGTTACAATGACTAGAGAATAACACTCCAGCAGCTTAGCCAGCTCCTGTTTGCTGTGGTAGGGCACTAGGCTGTGCTGTGGGAAGCAAGTGCTGCCTCAAGCAGACAGTGCTCACCTTAGAAATCAGCTACCTGAACGTTTTTGTGCTTCTGTCTTGAAAAATAATGTGATGAAAAAGGTGGGTTGCACCACAGGACTGTGGATCTCTGGCTGCAGCAACTTGCTTGGTAAGCTGAAGTACCTTCAACAACAAGAAATTATGATGATGTCTTTTAGAGGTGGTTCATGTGTGGCTGTGGATGATCTTTTGCCTCTCTGAGAAGCTGGGGTGTAGGCAGGTCATCTCATTTATATTTAATTCATTGTTTTAAATCAAAAGTCAATTTTTTGTCACATGTGAACTGTTGTGGAAAGCATGTGAGGGAACAGAATTGTTGAATTTAGCATAGTCTATCCCTCAAGGTAACGTTGTTTTTGAGACGGTTTTGCCAAGATAAATGTGGGTGGCAGCAAAGGTCAAAACAACTTAGCCTTAAAGTGTTTCTGTCCTTGTAAAAAATATCTCTAACAGAAACATGCTTGGAATGTTTCCCCTTTTAAATGTAATTTATAATTGCTGCTTTAAAACTCATAAGGATGGATCTTATTCTGAGCAAATGAATACTGTAAATATCCTTGTCATACCTTGAATAAATGGGAACCTTTTTCTATAATTTGTCTTTGTGTCTTGGTGTGCACATTCTAAGAAAGTCTGTTGACAAGTTTTCCTTTCCAGAGAATCAGGAGTACAGGCTGTTACTGCCTAGTTGTCTTACACTGTTGTGACTTTTACAGTAAAAAGGAAAGGTTTCCTCTCTTTTTTACAACAAACCTTTTACATAAGAATCCCTTTCAGACACAGCGCAACAAAATATGAAATTTCAGTTAGATGGGAAATTACCTCCTTTTTTTCTGAGGAAATAACTATGAAACTTCAGGAGAATGTGTCTAGATCCTGGAGCAGGTTTTTAGTCTAGCTCAAGGATATGACCATGAGTTCTGTGTATCCTGCAAAGTGGCCTGATAAGCAGGTTTACCATTCTGTGGTGCTCTGCAAGCCTGGGGCTCATTGTTGAGGATTTTCACAGGAGAGCAGCAAAGCAAAGCTTTTAACTGGTTGTTGAGGTGTTGTGTTGGTGCTGTGCACCAGTTAGTACCCTAAAAACTTAATTTGACCAAATTTGCTTGTATAGAAAGAACTGGCACTTCCTAATTTGAAAGGAAAAACCCCACAGCAATGTCTGGTTACATCTGTTCAACTAGGAGAGGTAATTTTAATCTGTATGTGGCTCATGGCCAGTTACTTTCAGTGACTAGTTGCCATTCATTAACCAGGAATACTTTGGCTTTGTTACTGCTCACAATGTGGTACCACATACAGTTTAGAGACTGTCAAAAGCAGTGCAAAGAAAGGAATCTTGGCCCTGTGGCAGATGTCAAAATGAAGGTTTTATGGGATTACTTTGAATTGTTTAAAGATTTCAAGGCACACACTCATCTACTTGTTCCCTTTCTGGATGACTGATTATCAGTCAGGCTGGAGAGTAGAGTCCATATCCCTGAACCAAACGTCTGTCTCCCAGCTGGCTCTTCAGAGGTCACTGCTAGCCCTTGGACTCCCATCTCTGCTCCTCTGGCTGCCACACCTCTGGCTGTTCTACCCTTCAGACTGCCAGTGCCAGCTGTGACATCACTGGCATGTCATTACCAGACTGATTTACCAGCAGAACTTGGCCCTTGTGGCCCATCTGTTTTAAGTTCTGCCCCTCTAGTATTGATCTTGGCACATTAAAGCATCTCTTAGAAGAGCTGGATCTCATGCTCAGCCCAACAAAGAGATTCTGCAGCTGCTCTAATCCCTCACCAAGCCTAATTCACCACAATTATATGCTCAAGCAGCCTCCTCAAACACAGAATAATTTACAGAAAAATCACATGGCTACTGTGGGTAATTTAGTGTGGAATTCATTATCTCAGACTAAGTATTATGACTGATAACCTGGGATATGGAGCAATATCTATTTCTAGGAATGCATTTATGTGTTGGTTACCAGTCATTAAGGGTAGTTTAATTAACAGTTCACCTGCTGAGAAAGTGCATGCCCAGAAATGTGCTTGCCAAATAACATCTGTGCTGCTGCATGCTTTCTAGCAGGCACCATTTCCCACTGAGTACTGCTCTTCTGGGAAATGTGGTGGATCTCCTATAGAAATATATAAGTTTGTGAGTATCTTACTTCTGTGAGTAAGATAATGCTCACAGAAGCTCTGGATTCATAGTTGAGCATCACAGACCATGCTGGTCCTGCAGTCAGGGTTCCCCTGTGGCCACCAGGAGGAAGCAGGAATGTGGGGATCCCAGTTGCTGGGGTACTGGTTGTTGGTTTCTCTGGGTCTGGACTGAAGGAGTTTGAGACAGTAGTTCATGTTCACACTCAGGTGTTTATTATTTCTTATCAATAAAACAGCCTCACTACTGTGACTTCAGCAGCTTTTCATTAGAAGGCACAAAATGACCAACAATCTCTTGGTACAAGGTCTTTTAAGACTAAGCTGTCCAATTAAGAATTGACACCTGGATTATTTTCCCTTTTAACCCAATAACTGATCCCACAGAGCCCCCAGTGGGGACTTTTCTGCCCAATTACAAAATGCCACCCAAACCCATAGAGAAGAAGGAAGAAGAAGAAGGAAGAAGAAACCCAGGACAACAGCCTGTGCTCTCCATCTTGCTTCCATCCACAACACACTAAAAATCCCAAACCCTTAATTTCTCACCCAGTGATGCACCTGCACTACTCTCTATAATCTATTTCACACTTTTGTGGATTCTAGTCTGTCTTGAAGTGCAGGAAACTTTCTGCATGAATGAGGGTCAAAGTCAGTGCTCCCCTGGGGGTCAGGGCACCCCAGAGCAGACAGAGAAATATTCCCTGTGGTGCCCTGGGTTTCCACACAAGAAGTGGTGAAATTCTTGGGGTCAGGGATGGCAGGAGGGGGTCACCAGCTCCTTGGGAGCACCAGCACGGAGCCCATGTCCCTGCAAAACCAGGAGGGCAGGTGGGGATGTCTCGTGTTCAAGCACAAACACACCTTTCATTGTTTTCTTTTCGGCACACACTAACGGCTCCGAGTCCTATTCCTGGTGAGTGGGACCTGGAAAACAGCTTGACATTTCCTGCCTGTTGTTTTTTTTTGTGCACTTCTTTCTGAAGCCTTTTTAGGCTCAGTTTAATTTAGACTGGGGAACTACAGTGTAGTTTTACAGCACAAAGATGATGTTGAGCTTTTTATAGAGCGCTGTTGGAGCCAAAAGGCTGAGAAGCCTTTCTCTGCCCCTCTCTGGGCTGGCAGGGATTGAGGCAGCCAGGCTGTACTTGGGAAGTTAGGAAAGCAGGATTTCCACCTGGGCACAGCCCAGCTGCTTCACTGCCTCCTTTTCTCCAGCACCCCAAAGCTATTCCAGAAACATCAGAGAAATCAAGATTTCACATCGATTCCTACCATTTAATTCTACTACTTGGAAATAAAAGGCTTTTTTGGACCCAAATGTTTTACACCACCAAACCCACACACCCATTAGGTCAGTCTTTAAATACCAATTTTTATAATGAAACTAAGCAGTTCTGCATTGAATCTTCCAGACACTCCAGCTGAGTGGCTTTTATCATTACGTGTCAAACTCTGTGATCCAAAGAAGGGTGACAGAGCTGGGGAAGGGTCTGGAGCACAAGTCCTGTGAGGAGCAGCTGAGGGACATGGGGGTGTTTAGCCTGGAGAAAAGGAGGCTCAGGGGAGACCGTATCACTCTCTGCAAGTCCCCAACAGGGGATCGGGCTCTGCTCCCAGGCAACCAGCAATAGGACAAGAGGAGATGGCCTCAAGCCACACCAGAGCAGGGTTAGGTTCAACACTAGGCAGAATTTCTCCACAGAAAGATTGATTAGACATTGGAATGGGCTGCCAAGGAAGGTGGTGGAGGCACCATCCCTGGAGCTATTTAAAACCAGTGTGGACGTGGCACTCAGGGACATGGTTTAGTGGTGGGCTTGGAAGTGCTGGGTAATGGTTGGACTCAATGACCTAAAAGGTCTTTTTCCACCTATATAGTTCTGTCATTTTATGAACCTGAGTGGAGATTTATCCTCCACTTGCTTCTTCCCCCCTCAACTGCACAAAACACTGAGTGTTTCCTCACTTTCTCACCAGTTTTTAAGGAGGACTGAGTAGGGGATAAAGA